TTTAATTATATTTCTCCTTTTTATGATCATTTTATAAGGCTTGTGAATTTTATATTTTCATGTATTTTTGTGATGGTGAATATTGACTTTTTGTTTCCATGTTTAGAATTCCTTTGAGCATTTTCTATAGAGACAGTCTAGTGGTAATTAATTCTCAGCATTTGCTTGTCTGAGAAAGACTTTATTTCCCCTTCATGTTGTTTATTCTGGCAGAATATAAAATTATTGGCTGGCGGGGTTTTTTCTTGTTTTTTCTTTTCTTCTTGAAGAACTTTGAAAATCATATTGTCTTCTGGTCTGTAATGTTTTTGCTGAGCAGTATGATGTTAGTCTGATGGGGTTTTCCTTATAGTAGAGTAGTTGCTTTTCTCTTGCTAATTTTAAGATTCTCGCTTTCACTTCACATTTAGTCATTCTGATTATCACATGGTGAAGTCCTTTTTGCAATGTATTTGCTTGAGTATTGTTGGGTCTTCCATGTCTGAATGTCTAACTCTCTTGCTAGTTCTGGGAAAAAAAATTCATTGATTATTTTCTTAACTAGATCTTCTAAACTTTTTTATCTCTCTTCCCCCTCAGAAATACCAATTGCTTTGTGTAGTCTCAGACATCTTTGAAGGCTTTACTCATTCTTTCTTATTATTTTTCCATTATTTTTGTGTGACTAGATTATTAAAAAAAAAAAAAAAAACCTCTCTTCAAGTTCTGAGATTCTTTCTTATGTTTAGTCTAATCTGTTCTTGAAGCCTTTGAATATATTTTGTATTTCCTTCAATGAATCTGTCAGCTCCAGAATTTCTGTTTATTTTTTTATTTTTAGATATCTATCTTCTTGGTAAATTTCTTATTCACATCTTGAATTTATTTTCTGATTTCTTTGTATTAATTTTCGGATTTGTCTTGCCTCTCTTTGAGCTTATTTAGAATCAATATTTGGAATTCTTTATCTGGCATTATGAGAAATTCTTTTTGATTGGGATCTATTACTGGAAAGTTGTTGTGATCCTTTGGTGGTGTCGTATTTCATTTTTCTAAAAAAAATGTTATCTGTGTCCTTCCATGGATAGCATCTGATATAGCCAACTCTTGTTCTGAATTTTTGGAACTGCTTTTGAAGGCAAGAATTTTTTTCCTGAAGATGTATATATGTTGTTGGTTGAGTAAGTCACTTTGGGTTTGATTTTAGGTGCCTGCAGCAATGTGATCTTTGTATAATCTTTTAGCTAGTACACAGGGTCAGTGGTATCTGTGATTTCCTTGGTGTCTTAAGGAACAGTTATTTGTTGAGGCTGGGGTAAAGTTTTGCTAGGGAATAGAATGCCAGATAATCTGTTTTTGGATCCCAGTCGTGGAAGCAGAGGACTCACTATGCCTGATTTTAGGCCCCAGGTCAGCTTACACTAGCAATGGTGTTAGTGTGTCGTGGGGGCCAATTCTTGGGCCTTCAGATGGCTTGCTCAAAAGCTAGTAGTTGGAGCAGAGGATCAGGTGTATGGGTGGGTTCTCAGGCCCTGGAGCAGCTGGTGTGATATGGGAGGTGGCAGTAGCAGTGGTGGGACTACCTACTGGGACCCCAGTAGTCCATGATGACGTTACTGTTAGCCGTAATGAACTAGGCAGGCTAGGCACCAGTCCCACAACTGCTTGTAACAGGGCAATGGGTATTGTTCTAAGTGTGTTTAGGAGAGTTTGGTCTCCCCTATCCCTTCCTGACTGGATGGCAGCTACAGCCATATCACCTTGAACTCAGCCCAAGGGCAGGCATGGTCCAGCATTAAACTCTCAAAATGGTGCTAGTGGAGGGCTTGCAATCAAAGAGGGCAGGGCCCCTGTTAGGCAAGCACCATAAGCAAGAGATTGTGGAGAGTGTGGTCTGCTTGCATTTCAGTCTCACAGGAGCCTATAGCAATGCAAAGGGAATTGTCCCAGGTGAGTGCAGGAGAGCGTGGGTTGGGTGGGGATGCATCTTCATCAGCCCAAACTCAGCTTGAGGGGAGGGCACTGTCCAGCTTTAAACTCCCAAAATAGTGCCTTTAGCCTGTGACCACAGGAAGCGGGGTCCTCCTGCAGGCAGGCTGCTCTAGCAGGAGACTGTGGGGAGTACAGTTCCCTCAAGACCTGGTCCCACAGCAGCTCATGCAGGATGGTGGGCACCATCCCAGATGTGCGCTGGAAGCCGTCTGCCTGCTCTCCCTCTCTTTTCTACTCCTCTCTCTCTCTCTCTCTCTCTCTCTCTCTCTCTCTCTCTCTCTCCCCCTCTCCCCTTAAAAGGATAAAATATACTTTTTAATTTTTATATCTTACTCTGGGTGAGGAATCTTTTTCCACCCATACCATGAGCACCTCCTGGGCCTTCCATCCTAATATTTTTAATTTATTGATTTTTCTTTTCATTATGAGTATATTTTCCTGTTTCTTTGCATGCCTGGTAATTTTTGACTGAATGTCAAAATGCCTTGTTGAGCTTTCTGTAATGAAGTTAAGATACTTGCAAACAACTTAAGCCTTTTGCTTAAAAGACCTTGCTTTGAATATTTGTTCATCAAATCTGGACCTGTTTTTAGTCTAGTGCTAATTATTTCCAACTACTGAGACAAGATTCTTTTGAGTACCTAATGTCCACTGAATTTACAGAGTTTTCCAGACTTTCCAATAGAAGCATACTTTATTCCTACCCCTGTTTTAGCACTGGGTATTGTTTCCTCTAATTATTTTATTTCAGTATAATAGATTTGATTGGAGAGAGAAGAAGAGAGGTCTTTTTTTCTTTTTGTTGGAGACACACTTAGAATTCCCAAGAATATAAAAGTCATTTCTTTTATTAATATCTTAGGCAAAGAAATAAAATTTCCCTTTCTCCCTCCAATAAAATAAATATCTCAATATGCTTTGTAGCGTTCTGGTCCCCCAGGTCTTCCTCATGTTGACACTATCACATTTGTTGAAATTGGATTGTGATTGATTTCTTTTTATTTCCTAAAATCGCCTTTGTATTTAAGATACAGCTTAGCTTGTTATCAAATTAGAATTTATTTTCTCCTTTAACATTTGACAATAGCACTCTTTTGTAATTTTTATTCAGGGTTGCTGTTGAAAATGTGAGGTTTATTTCATTTTTATTCCTCTGAACATTGCTTTAGCAGTGCTACTCAAAGTGTAGTCCAAAGACCAGTACCTAGACATAAATTGTTTCTTACCAGTTCTTTATTAAACAAGAACAGAAATAGAGTAGGTGTTACAAAACTTTTAGAGCAAATTGACAGAATTAGATTTAACCTTTACTTATGTTGAACCTAATAATAAAATAATTCCCACTTGTAATTGCATATCCTTTTTATTCCTATCATTTTCCAGTATCTTATTTTAGAAAATCACTAGTCTGTAATATATTGGATATAAAGCAAATAACAACATTTATAACAATAACCACAAAACAAAACAAAAACTGTGATTCTTCTCTACAGATTGTTTAAAAAACACTGCTTGGTGCAATCAGAAACTCTGGCCAGGGAGACCCATGGCGTCTTAGGCTAAGAGATCTCATAATCAGTGGTGCTTGAGATCACCAATCAAGGAACAAAGTCCTGGAGTTTACAGAGAACAGACTATTGTGTTCATGGTATAAAGCCTTCCACTAAGTCACTTAATATTGTGCAGATGGGAGAGCTCCATGGCTTTACGCTTGAAGTAAGGGTTGATTGATCCAGAGAGTCTAGCCTGGGTGAAGGAAAAGATGTGGGAACCATCAGCCATGTCATAGAAAGAAATGTTACTGTCCTCATAATCCAAGAAAATCACAATCTTCTGTGGGCACTTTTCTGTTGGAAGAGGCTCTTCCAGGGCAATGTTTTGGGAGCAAAAGGCGAGAGCCCTATATTCACATCCCTTCTTCTCTAAGACTCTGAATATCTCTGGTGGTTCTTTGGACGATTCATTCCCATCTATGTGCTCATAAGTACCTAGAGTCCACTCATCAGTGTCCCCGATGTCCACCTCCCAGTAATATTTCCCTGATGTGAAGTCCTTCTTATCAAGTGTGATAAGGTTGTCATCTCCTTGCTTATTACTGACAGGTAGATCCTGTGTTTCCTCTCTGCAGTTCTCGTTCCTCTCTGGGTCAGAATTATGCTGGTGAAACATTTCATGATTTAGAGTCACAACAGCTAGAAGAAAAAAACAGGGCCACTATTGTACATTTCAGAGAGCTGTTATACAGGTGAGACCTTAAAGAAAGGCAAAATGTGGAGCCAGTGGTAAAACAACACCCCCCTCTCGGTGTGTGGTGGGGAGTTGCAGGTGCTCTTACGTGGAGTATATGCCACTTGTCTCATTTTCCCTCATCTCTGCTACACCTGTGTCTTAGCAGAGTGCCTCTGTGAGCCAGGACTTGCAGCTTTTACTTGAGAATATTGTTCTTCCCATGTTCTCTATAAATCAGAACCATGTTCTTCAATTCGTACTAGGTCTCACTGCCTCCTTGAAAAGAGCAGTGGAGTACTCTTGCCATCGTGAGCACTTTTTATTTAGTTAGGGGCCTCCTCACCTGAGGAGCTATGTTAGTTTCTGTTTCAGAACCAGGGGGGCCTCACAGGCAAGAAAGCTGCGCAGTGTGTGAAGACAGAGGCACAGCCCGAGCGGCCAATCCTAGCGGGAAGGTTCAGTTCAGGCGTACATTAAATGATCTTCATCTTCCTCCCTCCCTTCACTACAATAATGGTGTCTCTGTCTTTTCAACTAGGGATGATATTAGAAAGGAAAAATAAGATATCAGGAGACAGGTTGGAAGGGAGCCAAAGATAAACAAAAACACTCACCGGGCTGGAAATGTTCCTTCCTCCAGTCTGGAAAAGAGCAACACAAATTGAGACTGGAATGGAAACACACCCAGGGAATGAAAAGGAAAAGTCACTTCCTTCTCAGGCTCATTACTTTCTTCTCCCAACTCTCCTCACTTCCTTCGGTAAGCCTCTCAAACTCTGGGTAACGTGGAAACTTCAGGCCAAGCAGCATGCTTTCTGAGCTGCGTCTCTGGTTAGGAACTGTGCCCTCATTCAGTCTGATACTAGAGAATAAGCTTCTCCGGCCTGAGCCAGGTTTGGAGCACACCTGGGCCAGGTGCCTGGTGCTCAAGCTGCCCTTGCACTGTGCCCTCGAGACCTGTGGGGCCGCCTCTGAGGATGAAAGCCATAAAAGCCTTTTATTCTATTTTATTGTGGTTTCTTCCCAGCCTAAGACCTCCTTAGAGTAGGGCTTAAGCTTATGGCTGAGGCCTTTGCACTGTTATTTTACACTGTCCCCTGTTACTTTGGCCCCAGTAACGGGATGTTTTATATTCTTCTCCAGAGTGAGATTCCTCATGGGGAGTAGGGCAGCATTTTCTTCCTTCTGAGGCCACTTCTCTCACAATGGGCCTGGTGGTTGTATTTAGAGATGGGATAGTCTCCTCGAGTCTTGGGACAATACACAGATAAGGACCTATCCTTAATTTTGATGGGAGCCACACTGGTCCCTCATTGAACTGACCTCCAGTAAGAAATTTAATAATTGGTAGCGTTGAAACTGAAACTCATGTGTCCTAATCATTAGGACTTTGTTTTCTCCTTTAGAATCACGGGAACACGTTTAGCAGCTCGTGAAAGAAAACTGTCGATAGAAACTGCTTAAGCAGCTCACTCCCAGGAGGGCTGCTCTGAACCCCCCGCCGGAGGCTGCGCAGGGCGGCTCCTTGCCTCCTTCCCGCATTGACGTTCGGTTCCGCAGGGTCGGCGATAACAGCTTACGATACCAGCATCTCACACAGTGTCTGCCTCATAAAAATTGCCCAAGTACATGTTCAAGGAATGGCCTAGCATGTTTATGAAGTCCAACTTTATATCACACATGCACACACATTTGTCAACCCACATAATACACAGACATAGATATTAGAAGGACATTAAAAATAGCCAATCTTCTCTACCACCAGATAAATATATTTTTACATATGATGTTAAAATATTTTGAAAGATTGTTTTTCAATACTTAAAATCTATATCTTTGTATATGAACCTTTATTTTCTTTATTTTGAGCCAGTAGAATAAAATATGTGAAATCATAGTTAATATTTTTCCAAATATGACGTATATTATCTGCTCTTTTAAACTTTGTCCTATAGAAATGCTGACATAACAGAGTATTCTTTATTCTCCCTAGATCTCATAAAATCAATGAGTTCTGTTCCTTCCTTCTCCAAAATAGGTGGCTTAACAGTTCATATTGAGTCTACCACACTCAGGTTGTAGAATTTACCAGTTAGAGGTTATTTCTCCTTCATGCTTAGTTCTGGAAAACAATGGATTATTTGAGCCTTCAAGTACAAAATACCAGACATTGATATCAAATCAATGTTTACAACTTGCAAGTGGACAGGTGTGTGTGTGTGTGTGTGTGTGTGTGTGTGTTTATGTCTGTCCTTTTTACACTCATAATACCAGAAGCACTTGGAAAGATTTAAAGCCAGAGAGTTCCTTACCAGGATATATCAGGGCCTTCTTCCAATCTAAAACAGAACAAATCCAGGTAAGACAAGGTGAGACAATAACCCGTGGCCTTATATTCTTTTCCTTTACTCTTATTTTTTTTCATGAGTTATCATGAAATCTTTGGTCTTTTCCTCTAAAGAGTGGAGCCGAGAACATGCTGGGCATTGGGACATCACACGGTGTCGAAACAGAGACTCTTACCTTCATGGTACAATGCCTTTCGCCGTTCTGAAAGAAACAGCGTTCAATGAGAGATCCAGACAGGTATGAAGGGGACAAACAAATTCCACACTGGTCATAAGAAGAAGCAAGACTCACCAAGCTCTGCCTTGAGTTTCGCTGAAAGAAGAGGAGATATAAAACCCATCAAATTGAGTTTTAGCTGACCCTGAGTTTAGGGAGTAGCTAAAGAAATTAAGTTTGGCCTTCTCTTATGGGTCCCCTAGTTAAGTAGATGAGAAAGATTAGCAATGTGTACATCCTACCAAAAATGACAAATGCTAAGAAAAGTTAAGTGGGAACTGTCACCAGGTCACAGAGGGTGAAATGTCCATGCTTTGTGAGAGTTTAAGATTTCTTGGGTGTTTCTGAAGCTTATTCTTGGAGGATGAGTAGGAAGAGAATTTAGTGGAAGACATTTCCACAAGGAGAAACAGCAGTTGCTACAGAGAGGCATGAAAGAGCATGGTGTGGACTGAGGGGCCTCCCTTTCGGGGCTTTAGGACCGACCACTGCCCACCGGTCTTCCTGCTTCCCACGTGCGTTTCTCCTCTCCACAGGACTGCCGGCTCTGTGGAATGCTAGTGCCCTGTGTCTCCCTTGGGTCCTCTGGCACCTTCTATTTCTCCACCCACCTTACACTACTGGTATCTCCAGCTTCCCCACGAACCTCTGATCTGCCCTGCTGCCCAATTTACCTTTGGTCTTCAGGGCCATTTCCTTTTTGTTCTTCATTTCATCTCTTTCATGAGATTCATTTTTCTTTTCCTCTATTTCTCTCTTTTTGGCTTGGTGTTCTCTCCAGCCAATGCAGCTGAGCCCAGTGAGGAGCAGCCCCAGCACCGGGAGAGCCCCAGCCAGGGCTGCCTTCCATGGAGACACGCTGGGGAAGAAGGGCTCTGGCAGGGCACGTGGAGACACAGTCAGAGCCCAGCTGCGGGAGGCCCTGCCCTCAGTCCAAGGCTCCCAGCAGCCCTCCTTCCCCATGCCGCCCTTGCCAGCCCCTTGGCCTGTGCGCCCCACTGACCCGGGAGGAAGATGGCTGACGCTTTCTCCTGGCCAGAGAGGGGGTTCTGGATGGAGCAGGTCACGTTGCCCACGGAGCTGTCCTTGACCACAAGAGAGGCCTCCACACGAAAGAGCCCATCTCCATCTTGGGTCTGAGACTCGGGGAGGGATGGCAGCGTCACTCCCGCTGTGTCCCTCCACTGCACCCTGGGTTTGGGGAACCAGCCACCCGAGCAGCACAGCACTCTGATCCCACCTTCCTCGGGTCCTGTCATGTGAACGTGGGGCGCAGAGCCCAACCCTAAGGAGAGAGGGCGAGCGCCTGAGGCCGCTGGTCCTGGGGCTCAGAGACCTGGGGCTGAAGGCCAGACTGCCATTCCGTTGGATGAGTACACCCGGGCTCCGAGGTCAGCGTCGGGCTGACCTGGGCTCAGTGTAGAAACCTCCTACTGCCTTTGCAAGCACCGCCACTGTACGTGGACTGAGAGAGCTGTGGGGTCATTCCAGGGAGAGAAAACAATGGAGCAGTTAAAACTGGAAAAGGAGTTTAATTCTATTAATTTTCTTTTCTGATTGGGTAAAAATTAGTGTTTGAGAATGTCATTATTTATCTGAACAAATAATACTATTGAATTTTCTGAGGTTCTTTACGATGTCAAAACATCTTCAGGAATTTAAAGTCTTGGTATTTAAAGCAAATAGAGCAGGCAGTCTCATCCTCACCGCAGAGTTCAGGGCACTGACATCTGCAACCGAAAGGAGCACAGCGACACCTGGAAGACCACGCGAGGGCCAGGGCAGGAGCAGGGGCCCTTGCCTTCTCTGTGCTTTGCATCGCGACTGATGCTCGGGGCCGGGCAACGTACCTACGACATGCAGCTGCACAGCAGCCTCCTGGAACAGGTCACCATCTTGTAAGCGACACCGGTACTGGCCGTGGTCCGAGGCCCGCACTTGTCGTATGTGCAGGACCACGTCCCCCTTGCCGAGGGAGGCCACGGCCAGCTCGGCCCTGCCGCGGAACTCCAGCATCTGCTCCCCGCCTGGGTCCTGCCCGTTCTGGAACACCAGCACAGCGGGGGACAGCCGCTCGCGGTACCACCGGATGTGCATGTGGGCTGCGCTCTGCTCCGGGGACAGCTGGCAGGGCAGAGCGGCATCTGCCCCAAGCAGCACCACAATGGGCTCCGCTGGCCCCTTCACAGAAAACCCGGGCACTGTGTGAAAATCAGACGATTGCGGCAATGAGTGAGGGACGATGAGGGGAAACCATCTGCTTTTCCTTATTTAGGGACCGAAACCTATGTTTTATTCGCGTTATTTTCCAAAAACATAATGTATATCTTGAAATTAAAAAATACATAGGTGTGTATGGGTGTGTGTGTACAGATGTATAAAATCTCCTATATCTTCTTCAGCTGTGTCCCCCCACCCCGGCCAACAAACTATATTCATTTTTCCAGAAGTAATAGCTTTACAGTTAGGCATTTAAAAAGACACACATTTCTCTATGGATTTCCAAATAGTACGTATATGTAAGTTATGTAAAATCTATGTAAAAAGAGATTGAGAGTTACATGTGGCGAAGTGACGTACTAAGCAGTCATCTCTGGGGCAGTGGAAAGCACCTCTCCCATCCCTGTCTCCGGCCCTGCTCCTCGGAGGTGAGTGCACACCGTGGCCTTGAGATGAAGGTTTGGGGCAGGGATGGGGGATAGCAGTGCTTTATCCAGGGTGAAAAATAGAACTATAGGGTGAGCTAGGCCTTTTGTTTGTTTTTAAATAAGTGTGAAGGCTTGGAATTAATTTTTTCATAAAAATTATGCCCCTGCGAGGGGTGCGGGCCTTGAAGGCCTGTGGCTGCACGTGTGGGGAGTTGGGGCAGCCCTTAGCAGACAGGGGGGTTGGATTTCCCAGGGGAGGGAGGGACGGTGCTGCAGGCCACAATAGGGACTTTGTCTGCAGTATAAAATATGCTCCCTCATCAAGTCACTCACAGCCATCGCTCGAGAATCATATTACTGCAGAAATCCATGAAGACTAAAAGGTGACTGGTGACCCTGGACAAAGCTTGAATTGGTAGAGGCCCCGGACACTGTGGGTGCGGTGAGTGGTCAGGACTTAAGGGTCCTCAAGTATGGTGACTCTGGGGGGGAAGAGTTCAGAAAGGGATGGCTGTGTTGGTGCCCAGGAGGTCTGAGTGCAAAAGACAAAGGTGCATGAGCCTAGAGGAAGTAGCATGGGCCAGCCTGTCCTAGAGAGTGTGGGTCAGGCCATCCTGGGCAAGGAGCATGACTTTGGCCATTGTGCTAGACAAAGACCATGGTGCTGTCATCTTTTCCATTTCTGTATATAACCCGGGCCACCATCGTAACTCAAGGGTATATGTATGTCCTTCCCTGCCTGGTACTGAGATGGTGACCATACATGTTATATAAGCAATTTAATTTTGAAAAAGGCATTTGACATTACATGTAGCTACAATGTAGTAGAAAAAAATCATTGTTTCACAAATATGAGATCATTATATATCAATTTCTGCAACAATGGACATCCAACCATTTTAGTATATATGGTCAGCTATTCCTAGTTGTTTTTAGCACTGCCTACACTGTCATGTTCAAGATTTTACTGTATTGGTGAATATTTACATTGTTTCTAACTTGTTATTACTATAAACAGTCCTGCAATAAACATTATATAATATATACAAGTGCTGTCCGGAAAGTATCCAGCCATTGTTAAAATTATTTTTCGTAATGCATGGCTGGGTACTTTCCAGACAGCCCTGGTATATGTGTGTGTGTCCAAATGGCAGAGCTTTTCTCTAGGAGACGGTCTCATAGAATTGCTGAGTCAACATGTAAGGAAAATAAAAAGTTTGAAAACCAACAACCAGTCCAAAATAAAGTAAAAAAAATAAAAAAAAAAAAAGGGAATTTTGGGAATCCCCTATCCAGTTTCTCTCCAACCGTGAAGTCTGAAAACTTCATCCGGAGGGGCCCTTTTCTTTTATGAAAGACAGACTCGTGTCCCAGAGAGAATAAGTGATGTGTCCACGATCAGAACCAAATAGAGCTCAGGAATCCCGAGTCCAAATTCTTTGTCCTCAGACTTAGGTTTTCTTGGCAGTGTCAACATTACCGAGTATATTGTAACAGTGACATCAAAAGTGAGCAGGCTAAAATCACCTACACTCAATAAGGGTTTAGATAAATGCCACCGCTCTGAGCTTTGTGAGGTCTCCTCAAGGGGAACAGGGCACGGATGTGAGGGACTTTTCTTGGCTGATGTGTGACCGAGCGTTTTCCGTTATATGAGAGGAGACGTGGAAACACGGCAACAAAGCACAAGCACGAGGCAGAACGCTGACCTGCTGAGCCCTGAGCAGCCCGGAGGAGGAGAAAGGGGAGCAGGAGGCCAGCTGGAGACAAGCCCTCCATGCTCCCCAGGGCAGGTGGGGACAAACCCTCCATCCTCCCCAGGGCAGGTGGGGACGTTCACTGCGGCAGCGACGGCAGCAGCGGCGGGGTGGTCTGCAGGAGAAGGTGGGGAAATCCTCTGTTCAAAGATTGAACTGTATACGCAGGGTTTTGGCTGTTTGTCCTCACAGACTTTAAGACCAAAACCATCAACTCCCATCCCCTCCCCAACGGACTTTCCTTCCTTCTCTTCTTCTGAAAACCAGCTGTTCCCAGCGGTGTAGGAAGCTGAAATGGTTCCCTTGTGCTCTGCGGCTCTCTTTCTTATCTGGGGATTCACCTTCTCGTCAGGGCTCTCTGGGGACTGGGAACCCTGAGTTCAGTGCTGAGAAACGAAGTCGGGTGCAGACCCAGGGCACGCCCTCAGCCACTCTATGTCCAGTTTTCCGACATTCACTTGTTTATTTACCACAGGTAGCTCTTGTGGCTTCACTCCCAAAAGAAAGGGCCCTTGTCTTACCACGGGCCCCAGAGTGCAAGCCCCTCTCTTCTCCGCAGCCACCTCCCAGCCACCCTGCACATCACCACCCATTTCTCTCTCACCACCTCGGCTCAGCTGCTGGGTTCCTGGCAGTTCCAGGTCTCCGCGCACCTGCAGGGCTGGCTCCAGACACGATTTGCACCTGGCTGTGCTCGTGCTCAGCGGCTACAGGTGCTGGGCCAGCAGGTTTCCAACCCTTCACTGCATTGGGAAAATATCAGCAGGAAGAAGGACCAGCAGGGCTGCCAGGATACCGTGGCTTTCGAATGCCTCTCCTAGAGAGAGTCTAGGGAGAAAATCACAGCCTGCCTCCAGCTCTTCAGTTACTTTGAAAGTGGAAGTAATAAAGGTCACCCCAAGAGACTTTGGACAAGGCTGAGTTATACAATGATAGAAATTCTGATTTGTGCTTTTGTTGAAAATGCTCAGTGTAGCTCCCTTTTCCCACTTGCGAAAGGCTGAAACTATATTACTGGGGGGAGGAAATCATCTTCCTGTATGCTATTCAGGCCTGCGGGTCATCCCAAGGTTCAACTCACTAAGTTAACTGATTTAGAGAATACAACCAAGAGAAGCATACTTTCCCCATCACACCATAGTCGACACTGGAGGGTGTGTGCAGAGCTGTGCCAGGGAAAATCAGAGCTCAGCAATGCAAGGCTCTGTGCCCCGAGACCCGTGGGGCTCCCAACAGTATAACAGAAATAAGAGCACAATTGTGCAGTGCCAGACATGAAATGTGCTCAGAAGGAGTTTTTTTTTTTTTTAATTTTTATTTTACATTCTTCCCAGATTTAATTCGTATTTCTTCATGTCACACGAGGTTTCCAGATAATCAGGGACACAAATATCAATTGCATAAATATTAGCATTGAGCCACTAACAATCTGGCAAAGGGATACCAAGATCCTAAATAAATATTCTCTAGACCTAGTGAAGTGCATTTGGCTTTTTAAGAAATTAAATTTATTTTGATATAATTTCCATGCAATGGAATGCATGGTTTCAAAATGCACATTTCAAAGAAGTTTCACAAATGCTTATACTAATGTAACCACCACTGCCTAGATCAAAACTTAGACCATTTCCAACTATTGAAGATTTCCCTCATGTTCATGTCAGTCAGTCCATCCCAGGATTAACAATCAGTATTCTAATATAAATCATGATAGCTTAATCTTGCCTAATCTAAAATGTCAAAAAAGTATTTATTACCACTGATATGTACCCTTAAAAATGGTAATGATGGTAAATTATATATGTATATTTTACTTCAAGAAAAAAATTTTATAAAAATAAAAATTAAACTTCAAAACAACAAAAAAAGAATCATACAGAATGTATGCTTTGTGTTTGTATTGTTTAAAGAAACAAAATGTTTTTTGAGATTCAACCCCATTGTGTGTAGCAGTACTTTATTTTCATTGGTGCACAGTGTTGTGTTTTATGAATATCCACTCTGCGGCAGGCAGCTCCCTGCGGGGCTGCGCCCTCCACGGGCCTCCTCACTCAGCCTTGCCCTTCGCCCGGCGCCCGGCGCGCCGCTCTGCCTTCCTTGGGCGCCGACATCCACCTAATAGTTTAGGCCTGAAATACTGGGGAATAGGAAGGGAAAAAGGAAGGAGAAAACGGAAAGTTTGAAGACACTGTTTGCTTTGTTTTCTGTGTGTGTATTCTAGTCCAAAATGTAAATAGGTTAATATAGATTTCCAATAAAGCTGAAAAAATAAATTTGAAATTCATATACATATATTAGATATTTTCCCCAATAATAGTGAATTGTTCGAGTAAAGTGGAGTAATCTGTGGAGAACATTTTGAGGAAAATACACGGAGTACATATGTAATGTACCCAAGTGTTTGTGTGTTTAAGAGAGAAAGATATAGAAGTCAAGAGAGAAGAAAAGATATCTATAAAAACTTACTGATGTCAAAAAACATTTTTTAAATAGCATGAGCAATATGATCCTATTTGTTTAAGAAATATGGAAGGATAAACATCAAAAATGATACAGTACTTATTTCTGAGTGGTGCAAATGTGGGTGTGTCTACCTATAATTTTTGCTTACCTATAATTTTCAGACTTCTCTAACATGAGAAAGTAAAGAATAATCTGTATAAAATATTTTAAAATGGAAATATGAAGTATGACAGGAAGGATTCATTTGTAGGGAATACAGGACTGGGGAAGCAATCAGCATTCTCTCATATAAAAAACTGGCTTAAATTAGAAACCAAATGGAAGAGTCAAATACCCGAGTAGATGCCACTGAAGATCAAAATATTGAGCTAAAAAGATGGAGTTTCTAGATTCTCCCAGGATATGGTATATTAAATCAAAGAGATAAAATTTGGGAAACATGACTTAAGCACAATAGATCCAGAACCGCAACATTCACATAACAGGATTTCCAGAATAGAAAGAAGGAAATTAGGAGTAAGAATCAGGTCCCTGGATTCAAAGGGCAACTTCATAAAAAGCTGGATTATTGAACCAAAAAAATAAGTCATTTACACATGTATTCTCGTAAAGTTTTGGAGCTCCCTGGATAAACAAATAAACAAAACTTCCAAGCTTCCAGAGTCCAGGAAATGTGTTATGAACAAAAGAAAAATAATTAGATTCCATCATACATCTGTCATTCAATATTCATTGCAGGAAAATAACTGAACCTAGTCTTTATATCTCTGAGTGGAGACTGGAATTATCTGAACAACAAAAATAACACTTACATGTGAGGTTTGCAAAAGAAAGAAAGGTCCGGACAAGCAAGGAATCAGGAGTTTTCCCATCACAAAGACTTCTCTTATATAGAGTAAAGGTTTCAATTTTGAATGCAGGGGCCTGGAGGGGCAGAGGGTGTAGACGCTGCTGGGGTGCAGCCCTTGCTCGGTCTGCCCGGCCTGGCGGGCACTGCGCTCGATTTGCAGTGGGCGGAAGGAGGGTAGGAGAGCTGAAATGTGTCCTGCCTGCCCAGCGCTCCGTCTAGTGGAATGAGGGACCTCTGACTCGCCGAGCTCTTTTTGCCGGTGGGTCCCATTCTTGCCTTTGCCCAGCTATGGCCAGGGCTGCCCTGCGTCACGCTGTTCCCTGCACTGAGGGGGGGCGCCTGGACTGTCTCTGCCAACAGACCCCTCCCCACGCTGCCTCTGCGGGGGCCGTGTGGGGCTGGCGTGAGAGTGTTCTATGTTCTCTATACCCGAGTTCTCTTAGTCTCTGGATACAAGGATTAAATCACTCTGTCACTTCTCACATATACCTGGATTAATTCTAAATCTTCTATTAATATTTTGATATAATGATTTATTTGCCCATACAGTATATAATCACTTTAAAATAGAGAGAAGGACCGGGTGGAATTGTTTTGCTAGCACCTTCTCACGCATGCAGGCCTCGGCTTCACGAGGAATGCGCGTTCTGATGCCCGAGACCTGTGTCTGCGGGCCCGCGCCGTGCGGGGTGGGTGTCTGCGGGACCCGCGCCGTGCGGGGGGGTGTCTGTGGGACGCGCGCCGTGCGGGGGGGTGTCTGTGGGACGCGCGCCGGCCCCGGTGGGTCGTACGGCGTTCCTTTCGCTTGTGGCCCGTTCCCATGCGTGCGTCTCGCCCTTGGCCCGGGCCGGCGGGCGTGCAGGCGGGTGGCAGGCCGGGCGGGCGGGTGGCGGCTGGAAAGACGGCATCTGGAGGAAGAGCGGCTGTGAGAAGCCGCCCTCTCGGCCGGACGGCGGGAAGCGCGCGTTTCGGAACCGCGGCGGCTTGGAAGGCGCAGCTGCGGAGGCGATGGGCGGTCCGCGAGCGCGGGCGCGGCGGGATGCAGGGTTCTGGTGTGTTATGGGGGTGCAGGCTGGGGGTGCAGGCTGGGGGTGCAGGCTGGGGGGAGCAGGACAGACAGGCAGGTGAGCTCGGCATCCTGGACGCCGGAATTGACCCAAATGCTCTTGATCCATCTGTGCATTTACTGTGCTGCTCTTTAAAATCGGACCAGGTCTATACATATCTGCTATGAAAACAGGTAAGGCACTTCTCACTCACGCCTCTCCCCATGCTCTGGACGGAAGCGCCGGGACTACCAAAACGGCCGTTTCCCCGCGCCCGCGGTTTCCGACCCCGGCGGCCGGGTGGGCGGCCAGCTCTCGGTCGCGCCGATCCGAGACCGAGTGGTGAGGGTCCAGACGCGGTGGATTGATCTTGCGGGGAAAACGCTATCAGCAGAGGGTGGAGGTGAGAAAATAACGAATGTTGAGTGCCTACGTGAGGCAGAAGTAGACAAAACCGGTAGATACCCGAGTGGCTTTGGGGAAACGAAAGGGCCCTGAAGGCAGGGGCTGGGTGAGAGGCAAGACGGACCGAGGGGACGTGCACGGGACACTGAGCCGACCGCCCTGGCTCTTGTCATTACTGGTGCTGTTTATTTACAGTTACAATAAAATTATAAGCTCACTGTCTCAGACGCAAGCAATTAAAAAAGCATAAAATGTAAACGGATAATCCTCCCTTTCCGTTCAGTATTTATTTTTTCTTCTAGTGTAACATTTAATACCAGATTGTTCTCTGCCCTTCTATATTTCTTTCTTTATATAACCATGTACAAATGAAGCAGATCTTAATCTCCGATAGTAAACTAGTTCAAAAACATTTATGTTAACTTATTTTAAAATGGTATTAAATCTGTCTTTGATTCCTCAGCCAATCAGGCGGTGAGGACTGTCTTAGCTATTACTGAGCTGCCTACCCCTCTTTCCCTGAATACTGATTGTGCAAAGGGCCTTGGAGCCCAGTGCAGCCCGCGGCCTGCGGGGGTCCGCAACTCCTTGCACTTGGGGCCTTCGGCGGCCAGCGCTGGGGTGCTCATCGGCCTAGGCTGTTGCCTCACCCCGCCGCTGCCTCAGGAAGCTTGTCGGGAATATGGTTCAAGACTTTTGATACAACTCTTCAAGAAGAATCTGAAGACCTATGTGTTTCCCACCTTTAAATTTTGCAAGACCTCCACCTCTATCAGTTTCTTTCTGTCCTCACGGACAGCAGTTCACAGACATTTTTCCCACTCGTATTATGCAATTGCTCTATTTAACGTATGCATTTGACAATATAGAAAGAAAGGTCTTCTTCATACAGTTCCTACCTTAAGCCAAACAATATGCCTGAAGATGAAATATTATAATTGGAATCGGGAGATGGAAAAACTTAGAGGAAAACTCAAGTAGCAGTTAAACCAAGTTAACACTATCAAAATGTCAAGTAATATCCTGCTCCTTAACACATACTGATATTTTCACTTAAAATATCTCCCACCATGTTCTTTCTGCAGCTTGCCTCTTTCTCCTTAACAGTATGTAATAGACAAAGTACAAAAGATTGCATTCTTTTATGATTGCAAATTTTCTATTATATAACATTTTTTAAATTAGAGACTGAGTCTCGCTTTTTCACCCAGGCTAGAGTGCAGTGGTAGGATCATAGCTCACTGCAACCCCATGCTTGGGCTCAAGTGATCCTCCTGCCTCAGCCTCCAGTATTACAGGTGTAAGTCACTGCACCCAGCTCAAGCACCTGGATTTAAACATGAATTTTATTACTCTCATAAGTCAATATGAAGATAATGACTCAAAACAAAGATCAATAACCTCTGAGTATATCGTTTTGCTTAAAATAACAGTTTCCAAGAACCTATCAAAACGTTAAGTGAAGACTTACTGTATGTGTATTTCATCATTTTTGTCATGCTATGAAATTGAAAATTGTCAATGTTCATTAAAAAGTAAATATTGGCTGGGATCGGTGGTTCACCCCTATAATTCCAGCACTTTGGGAAGCAGAGGCAGGATTATTGGTTGAGGCCAGGAATTCAAGATGGGCCTGGGCAACATAGCAAGACCCCAACTCTACAAAAGAATAAAAAAACTAGCAAGGCCTGGTGGTGCGTGCCTGTAGTCCCAGCTACTCTGGAAGCTGAGGCAGGAGGATCTCTTGAGCCCAGGATTTGGAGGTTGCAGTGAGATATGATGACCTCACAGCACTATAGTTTGGGTAACAGAAAAAAAATGAAAGAAAAAGAAATTTTATCTATCTTCTTTATATATAATTTCCTTCTTTATATTGGAAGAGGCCAAATTCATTAGATCTTGAAGGAAAGGGTGACAGACTTTCTCAGTCATGTTACTGTGAGCCCACTTTAGTATCCTCTCAGTAAGAGGTCAAATTTTCACAGTCTAGAACGAACCCCCTGGGAGCATAGCATTTTTCAGTATCTTTCCCAAGTCAGCTCATTGACTCATGGGTGTAAAGGCAAGTTGACCTTTAGAAGCAGTTGGTTAATTATATATCCACACTTATCTTCCATTCAGGTAACCTTTGCCAAGCACAGCCGCTTCTGTGCTCAGGAATGGGCATCCCTTCCTGTTCTTTCTCAACACAGGTATTGCTTTTGTCTACTTGTTTTGAATTGGGACTTTAGTGGCTATATGCTCTGGGAGGTGCAAGGTGTTTGGTCTGGTGGCAGTTCCGGCTTCCTCAGCTTTGATCTGCTCCACTTTGCTCAGGACCAGCTGTGCCACACAGGGATTTGCTTTGCTTAGGAGAGTTGGCGGCTCCCTGGGCAGCTCTGAGAAGATACACTGTCTTTCAGGTTGCGTTCTGCTTTCCAGAAGTGCGTCGTCCCCGGCAGGGCAGGGTCTGGTAGCAAACATCAGCCGTGTTATACTTGTTAGCCAAAAAATGATGATGTAGCTGAGAATTCTAATCTAGTTCCTGCAGCCGAGGAACTGGAGTAGGACTGAGCCAGACATAAGGGAGTTCGTACCGTATGACATCAAGTCCAAAAATCAAAATAGCATGTAGTCTTAGAATTCAAGAGATTCATTATTTTCAAAGACAGGGTAGAAAGGGGTGAGGGTAAAAAGTAAAAACACTTGACTCCAGGATTAACTTTACCCAGCTGCCTTCCTCTTTTAGATAATGTCTACTTGGAAGAAGAAAAATAAGTTGGAAAAAGCTACAAGGGGAGATTCTTTAAGGAACTGACTACCGGAAGTCTCATTTTAATTTCAGAAAGACAGCCTTCCTTGAGATTCCAATAAACAGAATAAATTGGTATAGATATTGACAGATGTTTTTCAGAAAGAATTCAACATCGGCAAATTTCACCCTGCCCCTTTTCTCTCATCCCTCGGGGCCTAACTGCAGATGTGCCTGGGGAGAGAGTGCGCGACAGGCCTTGGTGTAAGTCTTAGGGTCAGCCTCAAGTCTGCTGTGATGTTTGAACTACAGATACTCTCTTCTCCCGCCAAAAGCCATGGTGCTTCATCCATCTGCACACACTGGTGCTACTGCATAACTTCAGGCATTTCAGGGCAAAAAGTGGCCAGGTCTCAGATGAATGATTTTCTTCTCCAGAACTGGGTTCTGGCCTTCACATCCTTATGGCGGGTCCAGGAGATAGAGGAGTAAGCCTGACATGCGCAGGAAGGAGATGGTTTCCCCAGCCTGAGGCCCAGTGGAAAGATGCCAGGGGAGAGAAGATAGCATCTCTCTCTGAGGATGAGACCCAAGATGGTGACCGCTGTTCCAGCAGGGGCATCCCTCACTGTGAGAGACCGCTCAAAGAGAAACGTGCCGGCTCCACGAAGAACGCTTTCTTTGGACAAGAACGGATGGAAACTATTTCTATCCCAGGTCAGTGGTGTTGATCATTTTGGGGACAGGAGAGTAAGGAGAGAAACTTGGGACCTGAGATGGGATAGGCGTGCTTGGTGCATGTTTTTGATGAGGTTTTGGGGGCCCTCTGTCAGAGCCCTTCTTCCCTGGGACTTCTCTCTCCTTGAAGGTAGCATTTGCTGTGACTTTCCCCGTACTTGTGGTTTGCATGAGTGCTGTTGTGGTTTTGGTCTGGAAAGAAAAAACAGGAAAAGAAGAGAGTATGGAAGGCCAAAGAAGAAAAGGAAAAGGTGAAGCCAGAGGTAAATCTATGAATCAGACGCGGTGGGGTTTGTGAATTTGTGGGTGTGTTAGCATGGCTGTGTGCATGGATGGCGCCTGTTGGAACACAGAGACATGTAGAAGACCAAGTTAGAAATCTGAGACCTCCCGCAAGGCCCAGGGCCCAGGGCCCCTATGAGAAAAATGCTATGATAGAATCCAATGGAGAAAGAAAGTTTACTGGTATAAGCATGGAGTTAGGAAAAAATAATCATAGTAATTCTCAATTAAAGTGAATGTTTTGATCTATTTATATGGAAGTGGCATTCAGGATCTGGGATTGTAATATAGACTAGAAAATAAATTTTGGGAATTTTGCTTTTTTAATATTTTTGAAAATCTGTTTTGTTATTTTCTTTCCTTTTTAGAATCACTCATGAAGGAGCTTGGCAAGTTCTTCCTTTTCTTTGCCATTATATTAATAGAAGAAGCAGAGTCCTTGCTCCGTGCAGTGTGTTTGGCGTCACACAGGCTGTTTGTTACTCCTTTTCAGCCAGAAGGAAGGAATTATATGATCAGGGCGAGTTGCGCTGACATTGTGGTTGGGCCAGCCCCCTCATCTGCACCTGTTCCGATCGTCTCTTCTTGGCGAGAGAGGGATCCGTGCCCTAAATGAAGGAAGGTGGCCAAACATGTGACACCCGACACTGGACAGGTGGGACAGCAGCAGCTTATGAGTCACACAGACTCACGGCCGGGGGACGGGCTGCGCGCCATGCAGATCGCAGGGCTGCCCTTGGGCGCGGAGCAAACCGGCAAGGACACAGGAGGCTTCCCCGTGACAAGAGGATGAGGGGCCTGTCTTCTGCGGAAAACGTGGTTGGCTTGAGTGACGTTCCAGGCTGGCAGGGAGATGAAGCCCTGGTCGAGGACGGCGTGGGAATCAGCTGGCTTGCCTGGGGGGATTAGCTGGGTGGGGAGTTTCCCCGCTTGGTGGGGGCATGTCTGGTGAGAACAGGGGAACCCACAGGGAGGCATTTGGAGCCTGGTGGGGCACCAGGACATCAAGGCAGCACATGGA